AGAGCAGATGGGAGAGAAAGCCAGGTGAGAAGAGACCCCCTGCCGGCCTGTGCCTCTCTCCCAAGCAACCTCTCCTCTTTGTGGGCTCCCCCGGAAGGCCTACACCCACTTAACCTCAGCCCTTGAGCAAAAGCCCACGGCCAGGCCTTTACATAGTGCTGCCTCTTCCCTAGCAGAGAGTTCAGGGCTAGTGAACATTTGCCACTTTGGGAGCTGAGTGCCTTCCTGAGGGATGCAGTGAGCGCCGACTCGGGGATGGTGCTGGGGGGGGGGGGTTAGTTGCTGTTTCCCGGGATCACAGATCCCCAGTCGCAGTCGTTAGGAACACGGGGAGAAAGACCAGAACCCCACTTTAAGTCTACGCTCCGGGATCCCTACCGAGGGAATCCAGCCGCGAGTGGAGTGCGGGGAAGCTATGAATTCCAAGTGCGCTGCGCGGCCACGGTGCATCGTCCAACCCGGATACCCGCAGCCGGGTACAAGACAGCCACCCCCTCCCCGAGTGCAAGATCGTCCAGAAGCCATGCTAGCTTCAGGGACCATGTCTGTGTGGCTCACTCGGCTGTGCCCTCTGCTGTGGATGGAGCAGCACAGGTGTGAAGGTCACAGTTCTCAACCTTTGAGACCACATTTTTACAGCTCCCAGAATAAAAAATAAAATAAATAAAACGGGGAAAATCAAGTCCCCTTCCCTTCACATTTCTGGATTGCAGTGATTTTGTTTCAGCTACTTTGAGACTAGGAACCCCCCCCCCCAAACTTTCTACATAAGAATGTCGTAGAACACGCTGTCCCAGGAAGTGTTTCTTCTTCGGGGCACTTTAGAAAAACCCCTATCCTGCTTTCTGCACGGTCAAGGAGCAGAATAAAGAAAGCCAAGACTTTTATTTTATACACCACTTGATCTTTGCTTGGGAAACTCTATTAATTGAATGGGCTTGCCTTTTTTGCCAGGTCCCCTTTATCATTATTTATGGGCTTTAAATTGTTTAAAGTTCCCTTGACGTTCAATTTACAAGTTTGGGGACTTTTTTTGTTCTGCCTTTTGTCCTGGAGAAAGACATCGTGTTGGAAGCGCTTTGAAAAGCCAAACATGAGAGGTTGGCCGTGAAAGGGAAGCGGGCAAGGTCCCTTTTAATTCCGTCCTGTTGGTGAATGGCTCTTTTACATAATTGCAGGAGCTATTTCAAAGCCAGCCAAGGGCTGACTTCACTTAGAACCACATGGAGTCTATTTTGGGCTTTCAGATTTAAAAAAAAAAAAAAAAGCTGAATAAAATAGTTTAAAAAGATGAGGCTTCAATGCCTTCTGCTACTTGCAAATTGGTGTGTCTGATGGGGAATTTTACACAAGCACCTCTTTGTAAGTACGTCTTGGGCCAGGGAAGCTCGATTCTGGGTTAGCTGGGTGAGAATCCCAATTGCCCCTCCATAAATAAAACCCATCCCAAGCTATTTCCCAACTATGGCCAGAGGAGCAAGTACTGCGGTAATGACGGAGCCGTTGGACCACTCAAAATCTCTCTAAATAAAAACAACACGGTTGCCCGAGAAACCAGCGTGAAGCGGGACAGCCCCTCCTGTGCAAGGCCTGCAGGTTTCCCCACGCAGCATCCACGAGACTGGAGCGCTCTCCTTGCTCCCTCGAAGCCACATGATGAAGCTTCCACCTCCAGGTAATATGAATATTCATTTACTTGTGCGGTTCGTATTTTGTGCTTGGCTTCCACACACCTGTGTGCAAAGACTGAGCCGGACAGCCTACAAACGTGGAGCTAACTTAATTACCGTCACTTTTATTGAACGTCTAAGCCATTTTGTAAGTGGCTTAATACAAACCTGACACTTGCTTGGCAGCGGTAAAGCACCTCTGGGGCTAGGCTATCTTCATCTGTGAGGGATGCTTTCAGAGAAAAAGTTAGCAGAAGTTAACTAGAGTTGGGGAACTCAACTCTCCCCGCTCGCCCTGCCTTTTCCTAATTGAAGGGGGCGGGGCTCTTCGAACCTAGTTACTAGGATCTGTGCCTGGTAGTTTTCCCGCGCAGCCGGGGTCCAGTCCAGTCTCACAGGACTCTGCAGTTCGAGGCAGTTGCGAGCAAAGCAGGTAGGAATTCGAAAGACAGATACGTGTACCTGTCGCTCCACGGGCATAAATCCAAAGGCTTTTGTTATCCGCAGCCGCCAGGCTCGCTGCGCTTTGCACTAGCTGAGGTGTCCCGGAATGGATCGTGTTAATCACGCCAAAACACAAGCATCCTTTATGATGCGAACAGTCATTTTCTAAGCAGTTAAGCATTAGATGAGAAAAATATTACTGCACGGCATTCGAGAAAAGCACACTAGTAAATAAAATTCGTATTGATGAAAAATTATTTGAACTCACTAATAAAAGATTAGTATTATAACCTCCGCAGTCAATACTTTTCTTGGCAATTTATGGACACAAATAATATGCCATCAAATTATTTCAAGTGTGGCTATAATTCAAGGGACTACAATCTTGTTGTTGAACTTTAAGCATAGCATAACAAAAGTAGTTAAAAGAATCCCTATATCTGGGTGTATTCAAGCCACAGAAGTCTCTACAACATTTTTTTTTTTTTCAGTGAAAGAGCAACATGGAAGGGACCAGGTAAATGAATAGCTGCTTGCAAAAGAGTTCCATAGACAAGCACGAAGGTGCTCGGCTGCAGCTACGTAAATCAAGGAAGGAAGCCCTTATACTGGAAGTTGGGGGTGGGGTGGGGACGGACGACTAACAACAAGGTAATGGCACCGGAGTCTGTCACTGTAACTATCTCATAATAAGAGGGAGTATTTATTATGCTCATGAAGAAACCAGCCTTTTTTGCCTTGGGCTTCCATTATCTTCTTTTGTGGGCAAACAGGGGCTAGATCTTGGAAGACTCCACAGACACCTCCTTCCCGTGTATCCCAAAGGGAATTAATTTTCCCTCACACTGCCTAAGCCATCTCGAGGTCTGGGCGTGAAGTGAGCGGAGGCAATACAGGCAGTGCCCTAATGAATTCCTTTCAAACCGCCTGCTGCCTAAACCATCTATTACTGCGGCCAGCCTGGAGTGGGGAAAGGCGTTTGAGATGTCTTTGTCCGGGTGATGGAGGGGAGGGGAGGGGACACTGTTGGGGGAGGAGGACCGCTGGCAGCCGGGCGAGAGTTTTACCCTGGCCCAGGGATGCGAAGGACTTACCCTTGCCTCTTACCTCTCTGGGTGGGCAGTTGCTTTCTGGCCAGACTCTTGGCCCGAGGAGATGGAGATCGTCTAGGATTGAGACGTCCCCCTGGGGCCCTTAGGGTTAGAGCGAGAGGAGAGAGAGAGAGGAAAAGCCAGAAAGAAGGGCTTCAAAGAATCCGGTCGATAAATTCATAAAGATCGATTTCTCTTTATCTCCCAATTAAATGTGCTTGTGATACATAACACACGTCCAACATGGGCCAACTCCCCAACCACCACATCCTCAGGGTGAACTGATTTTTAATGGTTTATGTAACAATGCCCTCTTTTGCTCCCTGGCCCGGTGCTGTCAGCAGTTCCGGAAGGACGTCTAGACCAGGGAATTTGAAGCCGAGGCCCAGGGACCCGAGGAAGCCCAGTACGCTCTGGCGCGCTTGGCAGGGTCTGTCCTTGCCAGGAAACGATCTCGTTTAAAGGGAATGCAAGAGTTGAAAGTTTATTTCGACAAAAGAAAAGAGGACCAGAAATGTCTACTTTCCTTTCGCCGCAATCCCTTCAGTCTTCTGATTCCCAAATTCCCGGGTGTTTACCATCCTCGAGAACGTGGGAGAAAGGTCTTGAGGGGGTTGGCTCCATCCAGCGATCCGCAAAGGGGAATCGCGCGCCCTGAAGTCTTCGAGCTGCGCGGAGCCAGGGTGAGAGCTCCCTTCGTTCCCAACGTGCTTAATTAGCGCCTATTTACAAAACGCAGCTTTTATTTAAGCAAACATCATAAAGCTTTCATCAGGATAATCTCACGTTATACAATCCAGAGGCGTCGCAAACTCCCCCCATTCCTCCCTGAAGATGGAGCAGATAAAGGACTCTCTTTATTATCATAATTATCGTGGCTGTTATTTTGGTGCGCGCTGGCAAAGTGGGTAAATAGGTGCGATGATTAAGAATGTCATGAAAAATGAGCAGGGATCGCTCACGGAGGACCCAGCTAGGAATGGGGAGACCTCCAGCCTGCCCGCCCTGCCACCAGCGCACCGTGCAGTGAACCGGGGCTAATAGGCCCCAGAACGCATCTGGGACCAGACTTACAGGGGGCAAAACCCTAACCGCAACCCGAGAGACCTTGCCCGGACCCTTGGCGCAACCAGAGCACCCATGGCTACAGTGAGCATTACACACAGCGACCATAAAGGAAATAAAACACTCTCGGCCCATTTGTGATGGGTGCTAGCTCCAAGCCATCTCTGAGACAGCCTCCACCAGGATACCGAAGACTATATGGTCTAAGCCTAGGATGCAGCAAGGGTCTCTCTCAAGTTTGCTCGAGCGCGGTGAAGGCGCACAGGCACGGGCTCCCAGGCCTGCACGCTCCAACGGTGGCGCCCGCAGCCCGCCTGCGGCCAGCCTGGGGAAAGGGGCGGAGCCCTAATTTCGTCCCGCCTCTCCCAGTACAGCCAATAGGAGGTGGCGCTCAAGACCACGTGACACGAGCTCGGCTGGGCAGCTGGCAAAATGTGAATGAGAAAGAGGAGCGCGATTTAAAGGTGCTGGCGGCGCCCGCCAGAGACAAGTGCGCCGGCTTCGCGCGCTCCCCCGCGGCCCGTGGGAGACGACAGACTGCGGGACAGACAAACGGACGCACACACCGCTGGTGGCCGGGCCGAGATCGGCAGACGCGACGCGAGCGCGTTCCGACGGGCTAGCAGCGGGGAGCGGCTCCAGCAAGCGAGACGTCCCCCCCCCACCCCGGAGCTGTCTCCATCCCGGGCGCACGGCCTCACCGCGCCCAGCGGCAACACCCGCACGCGCCGGGTATGCAGCGCGCCCCGCACTGAGGGGCGGCGGCGTCTACGCTCCGGGTGCCGCTCGGCCACTGCTCGGTGCTCCTGGCGGTGCTCCCGGAGTCCGGAGGGCTTCCAGGCGGCGGCGCGGCTCAGGGACTTTTCGTCTCTCCCTGGCCTCTCCCGAACGCGTCTATGAGCGCAGCGTTCCCTCCGTCGCTGATGATGATGCAGCGCCCGCTGGGGAGTAGTACCGCCTTTAGCATAGACTCGCTGATCGGCAGCCCGCCGCAGCCCAGCCCAGGCCATTTCGTCTACACCGGTTACCCCATGTTCATGCCCTACCGGCCGGTGGTGCTGCCGCCGCCGCCGCCGCCGCCTCCCGCGCTGCCCCAGGCGGCGCTGCAGCCGGCGCTGCCGCCCGCGCACCCTCACCACCAGATCCCCAGCCTGCCCACCGGCTTCTGCTCTAGCCTGGCGCAGGGCATGGCGCTCACCTCCACGCTCATGGCCACATTGCCCGGCGGCTTCTCGGCGTCGCCCCAGCACCAAGAGGCGGCCGCCGCACGCAAGTTCGCTCCGCAGCCACTGCCTGGAGGCGGCAACTTCGACAAAGCCGAGGCGCTTCAAGCTGATGCGGAGGATGGCAAAGCCTTCCTGGCCAAGGAAGGCTCGCTGCTCGCCTTCTCTGCGGCCGAAGCGGTGCAGGCGTCTCTCGGTGAGTCGGCGGCGCGCGCAGCCGGAACGCGGGGACGGGAGGGAGTGGAGGCGGGCCAGCTCCCGGTTCCCGCCGGGAACAGGGGGGACGAGGCCGCGCCCCCGTCCGACCTCTGCGGGAATAGCTGGAGGAGCCGCGGGGATGTCCAGCGGAGCTTCCCAAGGGACATTTAAACCCCGACAACAAGCAGGGTCTTGGGAAAGGGAGGCGTTTAGATCTCTCCTGCCAGCTGCTCCGGGCCACACATCTGGTGGTGCATTTGGCCCAATCTAAACTGCCCCCCCCCCGCGCGCGCAACACACACTGCTATGACTGAGAGCCCTTGATATGTTGCAACCTTAAGAAGAGGCCTGTTGGGCTGTGAGGTTTTGTTTTGTTTTTTCAGTTGCGCATGTACCCAAGAGTCGAGACTTAAATGTCTTCACTGGTTTCTTTGCTGTCCAAGAGAACCAGATTCTAAAGAGGCTGTGTGTATGCGTGTGTGTGCGTGCGTGTGTGTGTGCGTGCGTGTGTGTGTGTGTGTGTGTGTGTGTGTGTGTGTGTACTCGCTCGCGCGCGCATGGGCTATCAGATAGGGAACTTCTCCTAAGGTGACACAACCTATCTATCTCAAGAAAGCTGCTGCCTGGCATCTGCGCGACTCTACTATCCCGCTCCTGCAGCGGTGAAATTGAGACTCACTAAATTTCAGTGTTCAGATGCTGGCAGGAAGGATCGCGAACTCTCCCTTCCTCTCCAAAAGGCCCTGGGCTCCGGGGAAACAAAGGGAATGTTCCCTTGGGCCTCAGGTCCGAGCTGCACCCTTCTACTTAAGCTGTCAGGGGCTAGGAGGGTGCGCGGGGAGCTATGTCGGCCCCTTGAGTGATGGTTCTGGGCAAAGGGCCTTCGCCTCTGCTGTCTCCTCCTCTCCTTTGAGCTTTTCTCACGCTCCCCCCCCCACTCCTCAAAGCCCAGGAAATCACAATGTGTTAATGTCGTAGAAAGACAATCTACTTGGGGTGGGGTGAGGTACCCAAGTGGGAAGGGGTAGGGAAGGCAGGGTTCCTAATGTAATAAAACGCCGTTTGGTTTTGCTTTCAGTCGGGGCTGTCCGAGGGCAAGGGAAAGACGAGTCAAAGGTGGAAGATGACCCGAAGGGCAAGGAAGAGAGCTTCTCTCTGGAGAGCGATGTGGACTACAGCTCAGATGACAATTTGCCTGGCCAGACAGCTCATAAGGAGGAAGACTCGGGCCACGCACTGGAGGAGACCCCGCAAAGCGGCGGTGCAGCGGGCAGCACCACATCCACAGGCAAGAACCGGCGGCGGCGGACTGCCTTCACCAGCGAACAGCTGCTGGAGCTGGAGAAAGAATTCCACTGCAAAAAGTACCTCTCCCTGACCGAGCGCTCCCAGATCGCCCACGCCCTCAAACTCAGCGAGGTGCAGGTAAAAATCTGGTTCCAGAATCGCCGGGCCAAGTGGAAACGCGTCAAGGCAGGCAATGCCAATTCCAAGACCGGGGAGCCCTCCCGGAACCCCAAGATCGTCGTCCCCATCCCTGTCCACGTCAGCAGATTCGCTATCCGAAGTCAACATCAGCAGCTGGAGCAGGCCCGACCCTGAGGGCCCAGCCAGGGTGGACACTGTCGTGGAGAGGCCCTAACACCCGAGGGAACCCGTGGCAGACTCCACTGTTTAAAGCAAAACTCAAGGCACCTCCCAGATGTGGACATCCCAAGCAAATTGAGAATATATTCACTAGATGGGCTTGAAGGGGCTAGAGCCACCGCAGAAGATACACTAAATATTTATTATACGACCCTACTTTGTACATAGATATCTATATAGACTGGATCTCAGCTGCAGTATTTTGAAAGGGATAGGACCAACCGTCTCCACTCACACATTCCAGATGAAACCACTGTAGTCTGTCGCCCCAGGCGACCACCTTTCCATACTTTCCCAAAGGTAAACGGGAGATGTGAGAACACTGGGGTTTAAACTTGTTTTTTTGTTTTGTTTTGTTTTTATTCTGGCTTTTTGAGTTGAGCACAGAGCAGACTTTTTGGGCAGTCTAGGAATCTGTTCTGCTTCTTTGCCTTTGCCTGGCTTTCTTTCCTGGGCTTGTATATCCTATCTGAGCCATGTCGGAAGCACGTCTCCGTTGTGTTTAATTTATTTCAATGTAGCTTATTTTCATATAAGTTATGACATTTAAACAATCTCAGTCTTGTGAATAATAAAAAAAGCAAGAAAAAAACATAACGTCAATCCTTGGGGCCTCATAAGAGTGCCCACCACCTGGGCACTTCGAGGGCACTGCCAGGGTGTGGTAAGCTAGGGACCTGGGACCAGGATGGAGGCCAACTGGTCATAAGCCACATAGCACTTTAACAGGCTTTTAACTGGAGAATAGAGCTACAAGTTTAAGAAAGACTAGTTTTCATTTTAAGAATCTTGCGTGTCCCCTTTTTGCATGGCCTTATCAACAGCTTGGGGACTGGCAAACTTTGGCCAGAGAAGAAGGGAAAGCAAGCGCGGGTGGTGGTGGGTTTGTACAAACTCAGGGTCTCCAAACCCGATGCAGCCAGGGAGAAGAAATGCGTTTCCTTCCAAGAAACCCCGACCCTAAAAGCAGTGGTGCTCGCTGGCTTTCAGAGCCTCGGGTCCATAAATCAGTCTGCAGGCGTTATCTTCCGACAAGAGCCGGAACCCAGCAAGCCTGTAAGGCTTCCCGGCAGCTTTGGGCTTGAAGGCAGCTGGGACTCCAAGGCCCTACTCTTCCCCCTCCGGGCGGGGTCGGAGGGGCGTGCCCTGACCACTGCCCCATCCCAGGGGCACTGGGTCCCGCAGACCATCAAACGGAGAAAGGGGAAGGGACCCTGGTGAGTTGGTCGTGGGTTGGCGCGCAGAAACCTAGGAATAGGTTGTCTTTCTCCACTGGAGGGACGGCCTGTAAAGCGGGGGAGGGGCGTACCCTGCTCTAGTCACCTCCTTTAACTTTGGTACAGTGACCGAAGCCGGGTCCGCACTCAAAGCGTCCAGAGAGACTCCAAGGCCTGGCACTGCCAAGTCTGCGGTGCACAGAACCCGGGTATCCCGGAAGCGTGGAGCGTGCTAGCAACAGTGATCATGGTACCCAAGTCCTTCTGGCCGTTAAACCTGCAGACCAAAGTGAAGCTAGTGGTGCCACTACACCAGCTTTCCAAATCGAAGGGTGGGGGAACCCCTAGCAAAGCAGCTGTGAGACACACCGTGGTTCCCAGCCCAAGAAGGGGGAGTAGTGCCCTGGGTCAGTACTGACTTAATTTATTTCACTTGCTTCGGTCACCTTTCAGGGGTCGGATCACAGAGGCATTTGCCCAAACTTCAGGCGCAGGGTGGAGGGCCAAAGTCACAGCGTCACGGTTTCTTTCCGAATATTTCCAGTCTTGGAAAATGCTCGGGCTGGGGTTTTCAGGACAATATAAAGGAGTGGTCTTTCCTCCAAGGGTTAGAACAGGCTTTGCAAAAGCGCTGAAATTCTCTTCTGCCCACCACCCGGTGCCAGGAGGAGCCCAAGGAAACGGAGGGTTGTGTCCTGCACAGGCACAACTAGTCTGTAAGGTCCAGCGGCTTCCTCAGATCCGCAGCCCCGCCCCCGGCCCGCGACCGGGGTGCACAGAGCCCTGGTCCCCGATTGGCACTATCTGCTTCAGCCTGGTTCTCAAGTGGCCACAATGTGGGTGCTGAAAACTCTAGGTCCTCAGAGATGCCAAGCCCTCTTTTCTACGCACACAGCACCCGAACAGTCTTTCCAGAGAATTCGTGTGTGTTTGCGGAGGACTTCTGACTGAAAACATAAGAGTTCAGCACCAAGTCTAAGACAGATAGAAGGTGAGATGCGGCCTCCCGACCCAGCCCCAGTGTTGCTGCAGGTCTGAGAAAGACCCTGAGTACCCAGAGTTCAATGCTTTCCCAGATCCCAGGACTCCTCCTCATATGCCCTCCCACCACACTGGATGGAAATAACCCCCACCAGCTCTCTGGCTCTGTCTCTCACAGCCTCTTGTCAGGGATGGGGGTGGGACCCCTGACCCACACAAACCCCTTGAGAAAGCAAAGCTCCCCAGAAATAGGCAGTCGCCTTTGGGGAACCCCACTGTCTTCACCCTTTAGAAGCACAGACAGGGCCCTGAGACACTGCATGCCCCCTTGCCCTCTTTGGGGGCTGTTCCTTTCCTCCCCAACCCCTGGGGGCCCTGGCACCCTGGAGCCCACAGTCCGAGGCCCTGGAGACAGGCTGAGGGCAGGAAGATAAACAGGCAGCCCTTGATGGCCGCTGTCATCATGGCCGTCATCATGGCTTTCATTTGGCTGCCTAATGAGTCACATCACAGGCAGAGAGAAAAATTGTCAATCGCCTGGGCCCTAATGAATTTTTTTGCAAATTGTAATCAAGCCAGGCCGTCTCAGCTGGCTGATTAATGAGACCCACGAGGCTCGGCCAGCACCTCAGCTTTTTATTCCATCCCGTCCTCCCCGCACTAAATTAACAGCAACTTGTCTGAGCTTCAAATTAACTCCCAATGATTAATTCTGATGGGGGGGCCTGAAGAATAGCTTGTTCTAATAGGCTCTGGCCTGAGATGCTGTTGGAAATTAATACACTTCCCCTTTGGCTGCCGGCTTTAATCCAAGGTTGGGTTTTGACATCACTATATTTGTTGTTACAATAAATTCCACTTACATCTGCAGATCAAATAATTACAACTAGGAGTGCACAGACCTGGACCCCCTGCTGGTGGTGTAGTGGGACACCTGGGGCTGACCTCAGATCCACTTTGGGGGGGTGTCCTGGGAACAGTCACCTGACCCTGTGACCCTTTTTCTCATTTCCCAGAATCCTTCTATATCAGGGAGTTGAGTATCTCCAACCCTTTGGAAAACTGAGGTTGCTTTGAAAGCCTACATCCAGATCTTTATCCAAGCAGCCTGCTCCTCCAGCTCCCCTTGAAGGCTGGGAATCCCTTCGAAGCAAAGCAGCCTCTGTGTGTGTGTGTGTGTGTGTGTGTGTGTGTGTGTTTGTATATGTTGGTGCGTGGGTATGTGGGTGTATGTGGTGGGGGTTGGTGTGTGTGTGTGTTTGTATATGTTGATGGGTGGGTATGTGGGTGTATATGGTGTGTGTGTGTGTGTGTGTGTTTGTATATGTTGGTGCGTGGGTATGTGGGTGTATGTGGTGTGTGTGTGTGTGTGTGTTTGTATATGTTGATGGGTGGGTATGTGGGTGTATATGGTGGGGGTTGGTGTGTGTGTGTGTGTGTGTGTGTGTGTGTGTGTGTGTGTGTTCTCCAGCCCTAACCTGGAGTTGGAAATTTCAAGACTTAGTACAAGCTTGTCACCCAAGCAGCAAGTCTTTAGTACCCTGGTATGGTTCCTTCAGGTGCCTTCTCAGCTAAAATGGGCAGGGTGCAGCGAGGCCTTCAGTCTAGTTCTGGTTGTGTGCCCTGCCTTCCTAGGTGCCCTTTCTCTGGGGATCAACACTTGCTCCCGTCCCTTTCTGTTGGCTGGAGCGTAATTGGCTTAATGGTTTCAGCTGTGTATGGTGAGCCTAGAACAGGGCCTCCAAGGCTGCTCTCCTGCTAGCAGGTGTGTGATCTAGGCAAACACAGTGTGTGCTGACGGTTGGGAGGGGCATCTGGCTCACACTCTAGTTCTCCCCCTGTTGGACTTTCTAAGCTCCCCTACCCTCCCACCCCCAGTTCTGTCTGGAGGGCCTGTATCCTGTAGCAGCCCTGCCAGCAAACTTGGCTTCTGTGATTTCTCCTTTGGGACACCAGCTATGACGTGGCCAAGTGACCTGTTGGAGCCAGCTGTGTGGCCTTTGGGGGAAAGGTTCCTATGCACATATACCTCTCCCTATCCTTGGCGATCAGGTGGTCTTCTCTCACCACCCCCCCCCCCGAGCTTAGGCCAGCACAGCCTTCCTTTCCACCAGCTCACTGGGGTCTAACCTAGGCAGCCTTTGGGATCCAGGCCGGAGTCACAGCCAGGGTTGACAGTGATGGTCTGGACTGAGAGAAGTGGCATTAATCTTCATTTTGGGCCCTTATGGTGTGTAAACAGGAGAAATATGATCTTGGTAACTGAACATGAATGCAAATCACACCGTCAGAGTAATAAAGCACCTGAAACCCCGACACACAAAAGCAACACCATATGTATGAAGACAACCTGCATAAATTATAAATTACATCATAAAAATTGATTGCCTATTTGAACAGTTTAGAAGTGGGAGACCTAAGCTGACTTCTGCCCTCTGTGGCTTTGGAGAGAGGTCAGGCTGTGCCTTCTCCCTCTGCAGGCCCTCAACCTGTGGTCCTGGGTACAGGTTGTGATGGACAGTACATGGGACAGCAACCATGAGATGTTGGGAGACCTGCATCTAGAGGATTGCAACAACAAGGACATGGGGGGCTGTTGATAGTCATGGCCCACCAGGTTCCTGGTGTTTCTAGACAACACAGTGCTGTAGTCCTAGAAGATGACAGACATTGTCTAGGTATCTCTCTCTGTATGGAGTCCTCCTGGCGAGCAGGCTTGTGAGAGCTGTCGCTGGTGCAAACGCGGGAGCAAGTGAGTGAGGTAGTATGATGTGACATGTGGTTCCCCTTCCGACTCATCAGCTTTCTCCACGTCGCTAGAGTGACTATAGTCAAGAGTCAGGGCCTGCGCGTCCCGCAGAGCTGAGCGCCCATCATGCTCCCTGAGCTTCTCCGGAGTCCACCCTGCAGTATCTATCTCCCTTCCTTGTCGGAATCCCTTCTTGGATGTGCCTCTGAACTCTCCCTGAATCTCTCCCCAGCCCCCCTCCACCTCCGCCGCCCGCTGCCCCTGTTCCACTTGGCCTCAGCTGGAGGGAGTACCTCTCTGGTCCTTAGGAGGACTCCCACAACCACCTCCTTCAACCTCTCCAGTTTGGCCTCTGGGTTGCTCAGTCCTGAGCTG